TACAATTCAATAGTTTTTAGTATATTCAGAGTTGTGCAATCATCATTGCGGTCAATTTTTAAACATTTTTCCACCACAACAAAGAAACCCCATACCCGTTAGCATTCTCTCCCTCATTTTCCTCCAATATCCCTGTACTAGGCAACCACCAATTTGCTTTGTCTCCATGGATTTGCCTGTTCTGAACATTTCATATAAATGAAATCATTCAGAATGTGCTCCTTTGTAACTGGCTTCTTTCACCTAGCATGTTTTCAAGGTTCATCTCTTTATGGTCAAATAATATTCCACTTTGTGAATATGCAACATTTTATTTATCCATTCATCAGTTGATAGACATTTGTGTTGTTTCCACCTTTTGGCTAATAAATAATGCTGCTATAGATGTTTGTACATATGTTTTCGTGTGCACGTTTTCACTTTCCTTTGGTATATACCCAGGCGTGGAATTGCTGGATCATATGGTAGCTTACCTTTTGAGGAATTGTCAGACTGTTTTCCAAAGCATCTGCACCATTTTACATCCCCACCAGCAGTGTATGTATGAGGGTTCCAAATTCTCCACATTCCTGTCAACATTTGTTATAGTCTTTCTTTTTGATGGGTGTGAAGTGGTGTTTCCACTGTGGTTTTGATTTGCCTTTCTCTGATGACTAATGATGTTGAGCAATTTTCACATGCTTGTTGGTCATTTATATATCTTCTTTGGAGAATATCTATTCTTATCCGTTGCTCATTTTTCAATTGTTTTTTTTATTATTGATTTATAGGAGTTCTTTATATATTCTAGATTAAAGTCTCTTATCATATATACGATTTGCAAAAATTTTCTCCCATTCTGTGAGTTGTCTTTTGTTTCTTTTTTTTTAAATATTTATTTATTTATTTGGTTGCACCAGGTCTTAGTTGCAGCAGGCAGGCTCCTTAGTTGCAGCTCCAGGGCTCCTTAGTTGTGGCTCACCAGCTCCTTAGTTATGGCACATGGGCTCCTTAGTTGTGGCATGCATGTGGGATCTAGTTCCCTGACCAGGGATCTAACTTGGGCCCCCTGCATTGGGAGCAGGGAGTCTTATCCACTGTGCCACCAGGGAAGTCCCCGTCTTTTGTTTCTTGATGGTGTCCTTGAAGCACAAAAGTTTTAAATTTTGATGATGTCCACCTTATCTGTTTTTTTCTTTGGTTGTTTGTGCTTTTGATGTCATATCTTAAAAACCATTGCCTGGTCCAAGGTGATGAAGATTTACACCTATGTTTTCTTATAAGAGTTTTATTGTTTTAACTCTTACATTCAGGTCTTTGATTCATTTTGAGTTAATTTCCATGTGAAGTGTGAAGTAGGGATTCAGTTTCTTTCTTTCATTCTTTGCTTTTTTTTCTTTCTTTTCTTCTCTTTTTTTTTTTGGATATGGGTATCCAATTGCCTTAGCACCATTTTTGAAAAAACAATTCTTTCCCCCTTTGAATTGTTTTGGCACCCTCATCAAAAATTGATTGTAAATGTGAGAGTTTATTTCCAGACTCACGATTTTATTCCACTGATATATAAATATATCTGTAGCTTTGTGGTAAGTTTTGAAATCAGGGAGCTTGAGTCCTCCAACTGTTTTCTTCTTTTTCAAGATTGTTTGGGCTATTCTGGGTCCCTTGAATTTCCTATTCTCAGGCTTTTTTTGCTGCTGGGATGAACGAGCTCTCTTTTCGATTTGGTCAATGCTGTGTACAGAAAACTACTGAATGTCATATATTTATTTTTGTGTCCAGCTACTTTACTCTGCTCTCCCATAAGTTCTAAATGTTCCTCAGTCCATTAGCCAGTGTTTCTCAGCTAGACAATCATATCTTTTGTAAGTAATAGTAAGCTTGACTCTTCCTCCCCAAGTTTATGTCTCATTTATTTTTCTTCTCATTGTTTTTCCTTGAATTTCAGAATATGGTTGACACTATTCACAGTGTGACATTCTTGTTTTGCTCCTCGTTTTCATAGGATTGCCTGTTATTAAGGACTATATTATCCATTCCAGGTCATCACTAGATATCACACTATCTGTTGAATTGGAATAAACACATTTATCATCTTGAAAAAGTCTTTTTACTCGCAGTCACTAAGTTTTCATCAGGTCGCATCACATTAGGATAATTATATGGTTTTTCTCCTCTGTCCTATTCATATGATGAACAATATTAATAAACTCTTAACATTGACAGCCCCCTGCACCGGCCCCTTGTGTAAACTGTATCTCCTGAGCCAGTAGGAACAAATTAGCTCACACTAACGGGAATAACTCAGGTCTTACTGGTGCAGCTCCCACCTGTATAATATAGAACAGATGTCATAAACTGGAAGTCAGTAGGTCATGTCTGGTTTGGCCTACAAAGCGGTTTAAAATACTGTTTTGAATTAGTTTCCAGCATTTAAAAATCAGGAGATTTCAGATTAAGAGTTCCAGTTTTTGGTTTCTCTTTACAAATTATAAAATCTGATCGCACTAGCCCTGCATTCTCACATGATCACAGTGAGCTGAAGTTGCCCCCCTCAGTGGGGGGTATTTTAGAGGTCTCCTCATTTGCATCCTTTCCACACTCTATTGTCTCCATACTGTATTGTCCCCAAACATCAAGGTCAAGGGTCGGTTGCCATGTTCTGTATTTGTGCAGTAGTTTTTCTTATAACAGAATTGCGTAAAAGTGAAATATGTCTTGTAATCATGTCTCTAGCAAATGTGGAAAAATAAAAGGGGCCAAGAGGGAGATGTGCTTCGGGAGACACGGGAACATGCATATTTCTTGGCAGAAGTGAAGAATATTCCTATAATGTTTAATACACAAAGTGTGCCTGTTGAAAGGATACAATGTGAGATGCCACCAGATAAAAAACTCATAAGAAGAATATGGAAAAGATGTGTAGGGGAAAGAAAACCTTACTGAACTGGAAGAAAAAAAAAAAAAAGACTGAAATATCAATAGGGTTTGTTTCAGGAGGCACAGACCATCAACAATACTATTGTGAAATGCCGTAATCTAGTAAATGAACACCATCTCCCTAGTTCTGTCCCTGAGTCTGAGCTGTTTGGCTCTTGGAGACATTTGAGTGTCTGACCCCTGCTCCAGTCCTGGGTGGCTGCAGTTCTAAGTCCTGGATAATAGGTGTCAGGTGCTGATCATATCTCCCAGTTGGTCTGCCCTCTTGGGACAGGGAGACACAGGTGGAGCTGAGTGGGACAGTAGGGGTGGGGTGGGGGTGGATAACAGGCAAGCTTAACACCTGGGTCACACCTGCTGGTGGAGAAAGAGCATGTCCACTTTTGATGTGGGATGGGACCAAGTGGTCTTCATGGGATGCTCAGCTCCCTGGTAGTGAACCCTAATGGGCACCTCTGTTTCGGTTTTCCTCCACCTTCAGTTTTAGGAACACCAAAGACATGGAAGAAGGCAAGGATGCCATAACTTCTCTAGCACTCTCTGTAGCTTTCAAAGTGCTCTCAGAAGCCACCATGTCAATCTGGCACACGCCATGTCATTCTCACTACTCAGTTCCTGCTTCCAGAGCCTGCTTCCTGCTTCCCCTTCTTCCCTACTTGGCCATGTCTGGGCTGTCTCCATCTTCCCCCTTCTCCTTGTTTTGTGGTGGAAAAAGTAAGGACAGGGGAGACCAGAGTCCTTGGCCACCCTTCTCAAGTCGTACGACCTCAGGCACATTCTCTCACAGCCTTTGTGGTTCTGTTTCCTTATTTGTAAAATGGTGGGTGTGAAGGTCCGGGTGGTGGGTGAGGAGTAGAAGTACTAGATGGTTCTGGGCGCCTTCCCATCTCTAACTGTAGGCTGGAACCAATTCTCTGCGTTCATCCAAGAGTACTTTCTGTTTCTATGTTTTTGGGGAAGTTGCTTTTTCTTGGTAGTTAGCGTAGCGAGTCAGGAAAAGAAAAATCATTGGCGTTCACGTCTCTCAACGCCTCAGGTAGGGCTGTGGCTTTTGACCAGCAATAACGGCTGATCTTGCGGCCAATTTTGAACGCCTCTAACAGATATTGTGACACAGAGTCCCGTTCAAGAGTGCAAATGGAAATTCCAGCCTTGCCCTTTGCGAACTCTGACATAAACTGCGATTCTTTCGTTGCCAGGGCTGTCAGCACAGTAGCCAACTTCTCATTCCCAGTTTGCAATGAGAAAACGGAGGCACAGGGAAGTGCAGTGACTTCCGGGATCCCGCGAAGAGTTCTTCCAGCTCCGGTAAAACTACATCTGCCGCGTGGGCTGTGGGGTGAAAGAGGGCGGCCAGAAAAGGGCCTCGACTCTGGAGACTACCCCAACCCGCCTTCAGGAGCCGAGAAATGGCTAAGTCACAGCCACTGGTGGTAGAAGGCGAGAAAGTCAGACCAGAGGCTGGAGCAGCAGTGCGCAAAGTCTGGATCGGCTGGTATTTCTAGGAAGGTTTCTGCCGAAGGGTGAGGGTCACGGCACCCGTCTGCACAGCAGGGGTGCAGACATTTTAAATGTTAACAGCACCCAAAGAAAATAGAAGTAGGAGGAGGAAGTGGGGCGCTCGGTCGCAGTGAGAGAAGGAAGCAGCTCGTCGGAGCTTCCCCTTTCTCCTCCTTCCCCGAAGCCCTCACCCCAGGCCCCTCTCCTGCTCCGCCCACCCATCCAGCCCCGGCCAAAGCCGCGCTTCCGCTCCCCCGGCCTCACCTCACCTCACCTCATTCCTGGGGGGTCGCTGGTGCTCGTTGCTGGCGTCCCTTCTGCCGTGCCCGCCCCCTGCCAGGGCTGTTCCTTCCGAGGGCAGACGGGCTCAGAGACGGGGCTGCTTCTCAGGCGCGCGGCTGGCTCGGGCCAGACTCCGAGGACGCTTGGGTCAGGCCGGCGCCTCGCCGACGCTGCCCGGCCACCAGGTGGCGCTAGAGGCCGGCTGGGTGGTCAGCCCCGCCCCGCTCCCGTCCCGAGCAGGCCCGGCCCCGGCGTGGCCCCGCCCCCAGCCCGCCGTCGGAGCGGAGCCCGGATAGATGCTGGGACTTACCGCGCGCGTCTCCAGCTCGGGCGTGGTGGTCCCGACCGTACCCGGAGTCGCAGGGAGTCGCCGCTGGAGAGGGGCTCGGCGCCCAGCGGGGACTGCAGGTGTGTGGCCGGGGCGCGGGGGCGCGGAGGGCACGCGTGGGGGCCCGAGGCCGAGACAGAGTTGCCCGCGGACCGTCTGGGAGCCGTGCGCCCTAAGAGCATCAGCTGCAGCGGGTGGGCTGGACAGAGCCTGCTGTCTTCTGGCTCCGTGAATAGGGTCCACTGCTGGGGACGGGATCCGCACACAAGCGTGCCCAGTAATCCCGGAGATAGAAGGGCGTTTCGGCGACTGTCCATCCTTATCTAGGTAGCCACTGCTGGCCGTGTCTGTGCGGTCCGAGCGTGGCCGCAGCCTTCTGCTGCCTCTTTTAAGGCCGCCCTTTGTCGTGGGGTCAAAGAGTCTGCCCTCCCGTCTGAGAGCTCTCTCGGTGAGCCTTCGCATAAGGGGTCCTTAGCCACCAGGACCGCTAGCGAGCGTGGGTTCCCAGACAGTGGCTGCTGTCAGCGGATTCGTGTTTACACCCCGGGTGTCCCTGTGTGACTCTGTGTGCGTGTGTGTGCGCGTGGGCGTGCGTGCTGGCCTATCCCAGGCCTGGGGTAAATAAGCAAGAAGTTCAGGTCAGTAGGAGGAAGGAGATTGTTCAGAGGGAAAAGGAAGGCGAGATGAAAGCAGCAGGATGTGGTATCAAGTGAGTTGCAAGCCTCCTGCAGAGAGGAGGAGTGGGTTTAGGCGAAATGAGGGCCAGAAGTAGGCCAGGTCTGCCTCCTGTCTGGATCCCCTTCTCTTCCTGCTGGTGTGGTCGTTCTGTCTTCTCCTCCACAGCTCCCTTCCTCCTGGCCTGGGACCACCCAGTAGGGCACTGGTTCCCAGAACTTGTTAAAACACACATTCTCCAGGCACCCCCTACAGCACAGCTTTCCAAGGGTGGGGTCTGGAATCTGTATTTTTCTAAAATTTGAATAAGCTCCTGAAGTGATGGGGCTGGTGCCGTTACTTGGGAACCCTGTGTGGTGTGGAAAGGAGGCCAGGGGCTCCAGCCGGGCCCGGCTGGCACTGGGTGTTTGCAGAACAAGGGAGTGGACGTCTTGTGTTTACCTGCTTCCTCAGTGTGGCCATCGTGGTGTGGGTCCAGGAAGGCAGAGAAGACAGTTTCAAACGGTCCAGCTCTCTCTTCCTGCTTCAGGGTACCCTCCTCTGCTTTCTGGAGAATAACTAGCTGGGACGCTGGGTAGGGACAGCTCAGGGTCTTTGTATGCTGGGCCTCATTGGGGTTTTAAGACCCCTGCCAATCTCTTAGGTGAGGGACGACAAACTATCTTCTCTCCACAAGCTGTAGTGGAAGAGGACCTTCTGCCTCCCCTCCCTGTCCCTCCCTCCCTCCCTCCCATGCACCCCTTTTCGTTTCTTTGGAGAAGAATCAAGTGGAAGCTAACTGGGTGAAAAGCATGTTTGGGGTTACTGGAAGGGTCGTGATGGGGAGGTTCCACAGTGGAGGCTGCTCCGTAGTCCCAGGTTAGTGGTTGATCACAAGTTTACTGGCTGAGAAGTGGGAGAAGGAGAGCCAGTCGCCTTTGCCTGGGCAGCCCAGCGTCGGAGGCCCCAGCTTGGGTTCAGACAAGCACTCAACTAGTGTTGACTTGGTATTAGTTCAGAGAGGCTCACCCCAAGAAGCCGAGCTGGCCAGCCCTGTGGGACCTCTGTGAACCAGAAGGCTTGTCTGGTGCAGCTGTGGGTGGGCTGAAAGCCTGGATCAGCTTCTTAAGAGAGGAAGCTTCTGGAGGGGCAAGATAGGGTGGTCGCCAGCAGCTCAAGGGAGAGGCGTGAAGTTTTGAGCTTCTGTCATAGATGGGGTGGGAGGCGGACAAAGGAAAGACTACATCTGACTTCTGCCCGAAGGCAAGATGAGACACTCCCACAGCAAACATATATTACATATTAGAATAGTCCATCAATTCGAAGATGTACATATTTTCACTTTTTTTAACAATTCTGAAATCAAGATGCATCTTACCATCAATGGTATCCTACCATTATAATAGGCAGCAATATTTCTTTCTTCATGGCGCACAAAATAATGGTGCCTCTTACAACTGATGGTATCTTTTTTTAAAAATTTATTTACTAAATCAGAGTTTCTAAAACTATTCCATCTGTCCTGCAAGATGTTCCACGAAAAAGAAAAGGACTCCTGTCTAAAAGTTCACGAAATAGGAAACCCTATTCCTTCCTTAGAGATTTATCAAGCCCGCTAGTACGCTAAAGTCTGTGAGAAGTCCTGTAGTCGAAAAAGTGATTTAATTTTTTTTAACATCTTTATTGGAGTATAATTGCTTTACAATGGTGTGTTAGTTTCTGCTGTATAACAAAGTGAATCAGTTATGCATATACATATGTCCCCATATCTCTTCCCTCTTGCGTCTCCCTCCCTCCCACCCTCCCTATCCCACCCCTCTAGGTGGTCACAAAGCACCGAGCTGATCTCCCTGTGCTATGCGGCTGCTTCCCACTAGCTATCTGTTTTACATTTGGTAGTGTATATATGTCCATGCCACTCTGGCACTTCGTCCCAGCTTCCCCTTCCCCCTCCCCGTATCCTCAAGTCCATTCTCTAGTAGGTCTGCATCTTTATTCCTGTCATGCCCCTAGGTTCTTCTGACCATTTTTTTTCTTTTTTTTTCTTTTTTTAGATTCCATATATGTTAGTATATGGTATTTTTTTTTCTCTTTCTGACTTACTTCACTCTGTATGACAGTCTCTAGGTCCAACTGATGGCATCTTATTCAATTCTGTTAAACACGATGTGTGTTTTACAGATATGGGGGGATGCTTTCGATGTACACAGGTACACACAGAATTATGTCATTCTTGTAAGTGAATTTGCACACATCACTTTTTCCAGTAGCTCTACCTTCTAAACACCGAAACTTTTCATGGTGTCCAGTTTTAAAGGAAATCTTTGTCAAATGTGTTGCTTGCCTTTGGCAGTCTAGCACACGGTATGCGATTTAATAATTTCTTGAAAATATCAAACGGTTCTACCTGCCATATTGTACCTTGGGTCTGCTCGGGGCAAAATTTCTGTCATCTTTCTTTTTGTCCTTTCCCCCTTTAGCTATAACTTCATGGTGTTGGGCAGTGGGCTAAGTACTTCTCCATTTCCTTTAATCTTCACAGCCACACTCTGAGGTCGCTACAGCTGTTATCTTTATTTCATGTTGGGGGGAAACTGGGGGCCGAGACCACACTGCTAGGAAGCACCAGAGCTGGGCTGATGACCAGAGATGACCCAGCCCACGTGGCAGCCTGTCTGTGCCTGTGGAGATCGTGGCTTGTAGGGCATGACTTTGGGGGCCTGAATCGTGGCCGTCTCCAGGTCTTTTCTGTTTGCTTCCAGGCTAGTGGCTGGGAGGTTACGGATAGCTGGGTTATCAGCTAAGTGACTTCCGGATACGCGAGGTATAGCTGTAGCAAGGTGCATGCGATTGGAGGGTGGGGGCCGATGAATGGGAAAAAGTGGGTGACTGGTGGCACAGAGCAGACACTGGCTCCTTCTTGTGTCTAGCGGGTCTAGCAGTCGGCGCACATGGCTTTGAGCTTTAGAGTTTGTCCTCAGCGGGAGACGCCTGCCTCCAGCCTTCCCCAACTCCCAGCCCAGCCTCTTTCCTGTTGCCACGGTGATGTAAGGCAACCAATCTGAACAAGTCGCTTTTCAGCTGCAGACCCTTCAGAGCTGCTCTTGCCCTCTGGAGAAGGTCCGTACCCCTTAGCGTGGCTAGCAAGGCCCCCGCCCCCCAGCCCAGGTCACCCTGCCTGCTCTGTACCGTTGCACGTGTTCTTCCTTCCCTCCACGTTGCCCTTCCCTTCCTCTGCCTGCCTGCTGGACTGGGAATGCATCCTTGGATGCCCAGCTCCCACCTCATCGCCTTTAAAGTCTTTCCCAGTCCCCTCCTCACTCCATAGCCCTGGCCACCCTGTCCTTCCGTCCTCACCGTGCCTTTCACGTCCTACCAGAGCGCTGGCCCGTCTGGCCTGCAGGGTCTGAGCATCAGTGACCAGCGCTCAGCCTGGCTCTTCAGCCGTCACCACCGCAGGATCTCTCCCCAGGATGTCTCAGGTGAGAAATCCCCGCGTAGCAGCAGTGGAGGATGTGAGTACAGGGTGGTGCGAGGGGCAGAGGGTGGGGTGCAGAGGGAGTGGTGCACTTTTCATTTTCGTGTCCTCCAGTCTTTCTGCTGTTGTTGTTGACCCAGGCAAATGAGTCTGTGTGGTTTCCTCGTGGGGGGCAGGGCTGGGCTGTGAAGACTAAAGGCAGCTTCCAGGCTTCTGCCTCTTGTGGAGTCAAGGGACCGTGTTCCTGCCTGACTCCTCCGCTCCCAGCCCTGTGACCCTGGGTGAGTCCGTGTACGTCTCTGGGTGTCAGTTTCCCCGTCTCCCTCCAAGTGCACACGAGATGCTTTCCACGGCCCCTTCCTCACCTCCAACGTGCCGTTCCTTGTCTTAGCACTTCTGCACGGAGCACCTTCCGGGTGCCGGGCACGTGCCGGGCTCTGAGGATCCTGAGTGCGACAGATAAAGTTCCTGCCTCGTGGAAGTTAGTCTGGTGGGCAGGACACTAGACACATATCACGTAATGACAGTCGTGACAATGATGGGGTCCTCTGAGTGTACAGAAAGGGAGCCCAGTATAGTTTGGGGGTTAGGGAGAGGCTTCCTTGAAGAAGTCACATTGGAGTTGAGACTTGAGAGATACAAAATAGAAGAAAATAGCAATGCTCACAAAACTAATTCCTAACACTGAGCGGACACGTGCTAAGCACTCTTTGGGTGCACCCTCTCAGGTATTCCTTTCGGCATCTCTGTGGGGTGTGGGGTCCTCCTCTCCTGCGAGAACGAGGTGAGATAACTCTGGCATAGACCAGGGGCTCATCCCCTGTGCCCCATCTCCTCCTTCCTTGCCCCTCCCCCATACTCCAAGGTCTGGCTTCACGGCATTAAGGCCATAAGCGCTGTTAGGGGGCGCCTCCCTTTTCCTTTGCACTGATCGTCGCCAGAGAACGT